CAGCTGCACCATCGAGAGCATCCTGACTGGTTGCATCACCGCCTGGTATGGCAACTGCTTGGCCTCTGACCGCAAGGCACTACAGAGGGTAGTGCGTACGGCCCAGTACATCACTGGGGCAAAGCTCCCTGCCATCCAGGACCTCTATACCAGGCGGTGTCAGAGGAAGGCCCTCAAAATTGTCAAAGACTCCAGTCACCCTAGTCATAGACTGTTCTCTCTGCTACCGCACGGCAAGCGGTACCGGAGTGCCAAGTCTAGGTCCAAAAGACTTCTCAACAGCTTCTACCCCCAAGCCATAAGACTCCTGAACAGCTAATCATGGCTACCCGGACTATTTGCACTGCCCCCCCCACCCCATCCTTTTTACGCTGCTGCTACTCTGTTAAGTATTTATGCATAGTCACTTTAACTCTACCCACATGTACATATTGCCTCAACTGCCTCAACTGGCCGGTGCCCCCGCACATTGACTATGCAACGGTACCCCCCTGTATATATAGCCTCCCTACTGTCACTTTATTCTATTGTATATATAGCCTCCCTACTGTCACTTTATTTTTTACTTCTGCTCTTTTTTTCTCAACACTTTTTTGTTGTTGTTTTATTCTTACTTTTTTGTTTAAAATAAATGCACTGTTGGTTAAGGGCTGTAAGTAAGCATTTCACTGTAATGTCTAAACCTGTTGTATTCGGCGCATGTGACCAATAAAATTTGATTTGATTTGATTGATTTGATACGAGTCACGTTAGGAGAGAGAGGGTATCCTGTTGTTATATGAGTCACGTTAGGAGAGAGAGGGTATCCTGTATAACAAGAGAACATCCAACCATGTTGACATAATGTGAAGGGCTGTATATATACAGTATAGATTATTCACTTAGATTTACCTAATTAGAAATCCGACGCCACAACTCTAGTACGTACAGAGACTTCAGATAGTATTCACACCCCTTGAGTTTTCCACATTTTGTTGTTACAGCCTGAATTTAAAATGTTTTAAATTGAGATTTTGTGTCAATGCCCTACATACAATACCCCATAATGTTAAAGTGGAATAATGTTTTTAGAAATGTTCACAAATTAATTAAAAACTCTTGAGTCAAAACAATATCTAAGTCAATAAGTATTCAATCCCTCTGTTTTGGCCAAGCCTAAAGTTCAGGCATCAAAATGTGCTTAACAAGTCACATAATAAGTTGCATGGACTCACTCTCTGTACCCCACACAATTATCTTTAAGGTCCCTCAGTTAAGCAGTGAATTTCAGACAGATTCAACTGCAAAGACCAGGGAGGTTTTCCAATGCCTCGCAAAGTAGGGCACCTATTGGTAGATGGGTAAAAATATATATATTGGTAGATGGTAAAAAAAAAAGAAAAAAAGAATTGACATTGAAAATCCCTTTGAGCATGGTGAAGTTCTTCATTACACTTTGGATGGTGTATCAATACACCCAGTCCCTACAAAGATACAGGCGTCCTTCCTAACTCAGTTGCCGAAGAGGAAGGAAACCGCTCAGGGATTTCACCATGAGGCCAATTGTGACTTTAAAAAAGTTACATATTTTTAGGATAAAAACAAACAGAATAGAGCTAAGCACAGGCAAAATCCTAGAGGAAAACCTGCTTCAGTCTGTTTTCCATTATAAACACTGGGAGACAAATTCACCTTTCAGCAGGACAATAACCTAAAACACAAGGCCAAATATTCAATGGAGTTGCTTACCAAGATGACATTGAATGTATTGACTCAGGGGTGTGAATACTTATGTAAATGAGATATTTCTGTATTTCATTTTCAATATATTTGCAATACTTTTTAGAAACATGTTTTCACTTTGTCATTATGGGGTAGATGGATGAGAGAAAAATATATTCATTTTGAATACAGGCTGTAAACACAACAACATTTAGAATACCTCAAGGGGTTCCCTACAGAACAGTAACACACCCTGAAGTTCACCACAGAGGAAGAACACCAATAAGGACCAGTTAATCATGTTCCACAACATATTACCTCTACAGGTTGTTGAGTGTTGAGAGATTTCGACACCAGGAAGGGAAGAACAGAGAAGTACTGTGAAGACAGTGAGAAAGAGGAAATCTAGAGAGAGCCCCTTCCTTCCCAGTGAAACGACAGGGGCCATACTACCTTCTTCAGAGTTCAGATCTACGTCTCCTGCTGGATCTCCTAGTGGTGTACAGTACAGAGAGACGCCTCAACAACCTCAACATCTAATGGATTTATAAAGCCCTTTTTACATCCACACTGCAGTGTCACCAAGTGCGTATACAGTAACCCACCCTAGACCACAAAAAGCAAGCAGAACCCTATTAAATATCCTATTGCAGAGCCTACATTAGTATACAGTACCAATATATTCTGAACAAAAATAAATGCAACAATTTCATAGATTTTACTGAGTTACAGTTCATATAAGGAAATCAGTAAATTGAAATACACTGCTCAAAAAAATAAAGGGAACACTTAAACAACACAATGTAACTCCAAGTCAATCACACTTCTGTGAAATCAAACTGTCCACTTAGGAAGCAACACTGATTGACAATAAATTTCACATGCTGTTGTGAAAATGGAATAGACAACAGGTGGAAATTATAGGCAATTAGCAAGACACCCCCAATAAAGGACTGGTTTTGCAGGTGGTGCTTTCACTCTAGTGGTAGCATGAGACGGAGTCTACAACCCACACAAGTGGCTCAGGTAGTGCAGCTCATCCAGGATGGCACATCAATGCGAGCTGTGTCAAGAAGGTTTGCTGTGTCTGTCAGCGTAGTGTCCAGAGCATGGAGGCGCTACCAGGAGACAGGCCAGTACATCAGGAGACGTGGAGGAGGCCGTAGGAGGGCAACAACCCAGCAGCAGGACTGCTACCTCCGCCTTTGTGCAAGGAGGAGCAGGAGGAGCACTGCCAGAGCCCTGCAAAATGACCTCCAGCAGGCCACAAATGTGCATGTGTCTGCTCAAACGGTCAGAAACAGACTCCATGAGGGTGGTATGAGGGCCCGACGTCCACAGGTGGGGGTTGTGCTTACAGCCCAACACCGTGCAGGACGTTTGGCATTTGCCAGAGAACACCAAGATTGGCAAATTCGCCACTGGCGCCCTGTGCTCTTCACAGATGAAAGCAGGTTCACACTGAGCACACGTGACAGACATGACAGAGTCTGGAGACGCCGTGGAGAACGTTCTGCTGCCTGCAACATCCTCCAGCATGACTGGTTTGGCGGTGGGTCAGTCATGGTGTGGGGTGGCATTTCTTTGGGGGGCCGCACAGCCCTCCATGTGCTCGCCAGAGGTAGCCTGACTGCCATTAGGTATCGAGATGAGATCCTCAGACCCCTTGTGAGACCATATGCTGGTGCGGTTGGCCCTGGGTTCCTCCTAATGCAAGACAATGCTAGACCTCATGTGGCTGGAGTGTGTCAGCAGTTCCTGCAAGAGGAAGGCTTTGATGCTATGGACTGGCCCGCCCGTTCCCCAGACCTGAATCCAATTGAGCACATCTGGGACATCATGTCTCGCTCCATCCACCAACGCCACGTTGCACCACAGACTGTCCAGGAGTTGGCGGATGCTTTAGTCCAGGTCTGGGAGGAGATCCCTCAGGAGACCATCCGCCACCTCATCAGGAGCATGCCCAGGCGTTGTAGGGAGGTCATACAGGCACGTGGAGGCCACACCCACTACTGAGCCTCATTTTGACTTGTTTTAAGGACATTACATCAAAGTTGGATCAGCCTGTAGTGTGGTTTTCCACTTTAATTTTGAGGGTGACTCCAAATCCAGACCTCCATGGGTTGATGAATTTGATTTCCATTGATAATTTTTGTGTGATTTTGTTGTCAGCACATTCAACTATGTAAAGAAAAAAGTATTTAATAAGATTATTTCATTCATTCAGATCTAGGATATGTTGTTTAAGTATTCCCTTTATTTTTTTGAGCAGTGTAAATACATTAGGCCCTAATCTATGGATTTCACATGACTGAGCAGGAGCGCAGCCATTGGTAGGCCTGGGAGGGCATAGGCCCACCCCTTGGGAGCCAGGCCCGGGCAATTAGAATGAATTTTTCCCCACAAAAGAGCTTTATTACAAACAGAGAACTGGCTAATAAATACAACGGGGCCATCAACGAGATCAAAGACCTCACTGACAAGATCAAGGTAGTGGACGTAGAGGCCTATCTCAATTAGCGTTATTCCTCGCCTCCTATCTCCTCGCCTCCTTCAGAGTCCCTCCCCTCTGACCAAACAGGGGTCCTGGGCTGGCGTGGTTACACGTGGTCAGCGGTTGTGAGGCAGATTGGACGTACTGCCACATTTTCTAAAAAGACGTTGGAGGTGGCTTATAGTAGAGAAATGAACATTAAATTCTCTGGCAACAACTCTGGTGGATATTCCTCCAGTCAGCATGCCAATTGCACGCTCCCTCAAAACTGGAGACATCTGTGGCATTGTGTTGTGTGACAAAACTGCACATTTTAAAGTGGCCTTTTATTGTCCCCAGCACAAGGTGCACCTGTGTAATGATCATGCTGTTTAATCAGCTTCTTGATATGCCACACCTGTCAGGTGGATGGATTATCTTGGGAAAGGAGAAATGGCCACTAACAGGGATGTAAACACATTGGAGAGAAATAAGATGTGTGTGCGTATGGCACATTTCTGGGATCTTTTATTTCAGCTCATGAAACATGGGACCAACACTTTACATGTTGCATTTATATTTTTGTTCAGTGTAGTAGATCAAACAGCTGACAACCTTAGGTGTGGTTACTGCACATCCCATACAGTATCATATCTCCCAACTCCCAATGCAGAAACACAGAGGCTGGGTACAGCAGGATTCTTCCATGATCTACAGTAACCAGCAGCTAGCTACTGTTCAGACAGAGCAGAAGAAGCAAGATTGACGGAACAAAGAAGAACAAAAGCAACAGAAGATAAGAAGCCCTGAGTCAGTAGATTAGAACATGAAGGTAAAAAGGAGATGCAGGGTAACTGATAGACCCAGACCGCCGACCCAGACCGCCGACCCGGACCGCCGACCCGGACCGCCGACCCGGACCGCCGACCCGGACCGCCGACCCGGACCGCCGACCCAGGACCGCCGACCCAGACCGCCGACCCAGACCGCCGACCCAGACCGCCACTCACCTAAACTGTTGTCCTTGGTGCTTTTCTCCTGCAGCTGTTCTAACCCAACTGGTAACAACAGATTAGAGAGAGGATGTGACTAAAACAAGGTCAACTGAAGGGCTTGCTGAGAACCATGTTTCCCTGCTGGGTTTGGTTTTCCTACACAGTGACATTACAGGAGTAGAGGCATAAATCGAGAGAGTGTGGATCGATAAACCATGCATATTTTATGACCACGAAGCAAAGGTCTGCAGCACCAGTGTGTGTGTGTGTGTTATATTACCTTGCAGGGCAGTGAGGCGCTCGTTAGTGAAGTCGTTATCAGCCTGCAGGGCCTCAATACGAGCCTGTAGAGTCTGTTCCTTCTCCTCCTTCTCCTCAATACAAAGCTGCAGCTCCTTCTTCTCCAGCTGACCCTTCTGAGTCAACTCCTCCTGGCGGCCCTCTGCCAGCTACACACAGGAACACACACAGGGAGTATGCTATGGGGACTTTTGGTTGGGATGGTCACATCAAGTCAAGGCAATTTCACTGATCTCTGCCACATCAAGTCAAGGCTTTTTCCCCATCCCCAACCCCTGGCCCTTCTCCCCATCCCCAACCCCTGGCCCTTCTCCCCATCCCCAACCCCTGGCCCTTCTCCCCATCCCCAACCCCTGGGCCCTTCTCCCCATCCCCAACCCCTGGCCCTTCTCCCCATCCCCAACCCTTCTCCCCATCCCCAACCCCTGGCCCTTTTCCCCATCCCCAACCACTGGACCTTCTCCCCATCCCCCAACCCCTGGCCCTTCTCCCCATCCCCAACCCCTGGCTCTTTTCCCCATCCCCAACCCCTGGCTCTTCTCCCCATCCCCAACCCCTGGCTCTTCTCCCCATCCCCAACCCCTGGCTCTTCTCCCCATCCCCAACCCCTGGCTCTTCTCCCCATCCCCAACCCCTGGCTCTTTTCCCCATCCCCAACCCCTGGCTCTTCTCCCATCCCCCAACCCCTGGCCCTTCTCCCCATCCCCAACCCCTGGCTCTTCTCCCATCCCCAACCCCTGGCCCTTCTCCCCATCCCCCAACCCCTGGCCCTTCTCCCCATCCCCAACCCTGGCCCTTCTCCCCTCCCCAACCCCTGGCCTTTTCCCCATCCCCAACCCCTGGCCTTCTCCCCATCCCCAACCCCTGGCCCTTCTCCCATCCCCAACCCTGCCTCTTCCCCATCCCCAACCCCTGGCCTTTCCCCATCCCCAACCCCTGGCCCTTTCTCCCCATCCCCAACCCTGGCCCTTTTCCCCATCCCCAACCCCTGACCTTTCCCCATCCCAACCTGCCTTTCCCCATCCCCAACCCCTGGCCCTTCTCCCCATCCCCAACCCCTGGCCTTCTCCCCATCCCCAACCCCTGGCCCTTCTTCCCCATCCCCAACCCCTGGCCCTTCTCCCCATCCCCCCCCTGCCTTCTCCCCATCCCCAACCCCTGGCTCTTCTCCCCATCCCCAACCCCTGGCCCTTTCTCCCCATCCCCAACCCCTGGCCCTTCTCCCCATCCCCAACCCCAACCCCTGGCCTCTTTCCCCATCCCCAACCCCTGGCCTTCCTCTCTCCCCATCCCCACCCCTGGCCCTTCTCCCCATCCCCCAACCCACCCTGGCCCTTCTCCCCATCCCCAACCCCTGGCCCTTTCCCCATCCCCAACCCCTGGCCTTCTCCCATCCCCAACCCCTGGCCCTTCTCCCCATCCCCAACCCCTGGCCTTCTCCCCATCCCCAACCCTGGCCCTTCTCCCCATCCCCAACCCCTGGCCCTTCTCCCCATCCCCAACCCCTGGCTCTTCTCCCCATCCCCAACCCCATGGCCCTTCTCCCCAATCCCCAACCCCAACCCTGGCCCTCTCTCCTCCCCATCCCCAACCCCTGGCCCTTCTCCCCATCCCCAACCCCTGGCCCTTCTCCCCATCCCCAACCCCTGGCCCTTCTCCCCATCCCCAACCCCTGGCCTTCTCCCCATCCCCAACCCCTGGCTCTTCTCCCCATCCCCAACCCCTGGCCCTTTCCCCCCATCCCCAACCCCAACCCCTGGCCCTTCTCCCCATCCCCAACCCCTGGCCCTTCTCCCCATCCCCAACCCCTGGCCTTCTCCCCATCCCCAACCCCTGGCTCTTCTCCCCATCCCCAACCCCTGGCCCTTCTCCCCATCCCCAACCCCTGGCTCTTCTCCCCATCCCCAACCCCTGGCCCTTCTCCCATCCCCATCCCCAACCCCTGGCCCTTTTCCCCACTCCCAACCCCTGGCCTTCTCCCCATCCCCAACCCCTGGCTTTCTCCCCATCCCCAACCCCTGGCCCTTCTCCCCATCCCCCAACCCCTGGCCCTTCTCCCCATCCCCAACCCCTGGCTCTTTCCCCATCCCCAACCCCTGGCCCTTTCCCCATCCCATCCCCAACCCCTGGCCTTCTCCCCATCCCCCAACCCCTGGCCCTTCTTCCCCATCCCCAACCCCTGGCCCTTCTCCCCATCCCCAACCCCTGGCCCTTCTCCCCCATCCCCAACCCCTGGCCCTTTCCCCATCCCCAACCCCTGGCCCTTCTCCCCATCCCCAACCCCTGGCCTTCTCCCCATCCCCAACCCCTGGCCCTTCTCCCCATCCCCAACCCCTGGCCCTTCTCCCCATCCCCACCCCTGCCTTCTCCACCTCCCCCAACCCCTGGCCCTTCTCCCCATCCCCAACCCCTGGCCCTTCTCACCCATCCCCCCCACCCCTGGCCTTTTCCCCATCCCCAACCCCTGGCCTTTTCCCCATCCCCAACCCCTGGCCCTTCTCCCCATCCCCAACCCCTGGCCCTTTTCCCCATCCCCAACCCCTGGCCCTTCTCCCCATCCCCAACCACCCTGGCCCTTTCCCCATCCCCAACCCCTGGCTCTTTCCCCATCCCCAACCCCTGGCCCTTCTCCCCATCCCCAACCCCTGCCCCTTCCCTCCCCACCCCATCCCCAACCCCTGGCTCTTTTCCCCATCCCCAACCCCTGGCCCTTCTCCCCATCCCCAACCCCCTGGTCCCTTCTCCCCATCCCCCAACCCCTGGCCCTTTTCCCCATCCCCAACCCCTGGCTCTTTTCTCCCCATCCCCAACCCCTGGCCCTCTCCCCATCCCCAACCCCCTGGCCCTTCTCCCCATCCCCAACCCCTGGCTCTTTTCCCCATCCCCAACCCCTGGCCCTTCTCCCCATCCCCAACCCCTGGCTCTTCTCCCCATCCCCAACCCCTGGCCCTTTCCCCATCCCCATCCCCATCCCCAACCCCTGGCCCTTCTCCCCATCCCCAACCCCTGGCTCTTCTCCCCATCCCCAACCCCTGGCCCTTCTCCCCATCCCACCCCTGGCCCTTCTCCCCATCCCCACCCCTGGCTCTTCTCCCCATCCCCAACCCCTGGCCCTTCTCCCCATCCCCAACCCCTGGCCCTTCTCCCCATCCCCAACCCCAACCCCTGGGCCCTTCTCCCCATCCCCAACCCCTGCTCTTCTCCCCATCCCCAACCCCTGGCCCTTCTCCCCATCCCCAACCCCTGGCCCTTCTCCCCATCCCCAACCCCTGGCCCTTCTCCCCATCCCCAACCCCAACCCCTGGCCCTTCTCCCCATCCCCAACCCCTGGCTCTTCTCCCCATCCCCAACCCCTGGCCCTTTCCCCATCCCCATCCCCAACCCCTGGCCCTTCTCCCCATCCCCAACCCCTGGCCCTTCTCCCCATCCCCAACCCCTGGCTCTTCTCCCCATCCCCAACCCCTGGCCCTTTTCCCCATCCCCAACCCCTGGCTCTTTTCTCAAGGAATCGTTACTCGATTTCTTGGATCCTATCTCCTCTCCTCCTTCTCAAAACCCATTGGAGAAGGTGGTCAGAGGGGAGGGACCCTGCACCTTATTGGAGAAGGTGGTCAGAGGGGAGTGACCCTGTACCTTATTGGAGAAGGTGGTCAGAGGGGCGGGACCCTGTACCTTATTGGAGAAGGTGGTCAGAGGGGAGGGACTCTGAAGGAGGCGAGGAGATAGGAGGCGAGGAATAACGCTAATTGAGATAGGCCACTACGTCCACTACCTTGATCTTGTCAGTGAGGTCTTTGATCTCGTTGATGGCCCCGTTGTATTTATTAGCCAGTTCTCTGATCTCTCCCTGGTTCCTCTCATTCATGTCCTTCAGGTGGGAACACTCATCCTCCGTGTTACTCAGGCTTCGCTAAAAGGAGAAATCACACAGGAGACCCATCATCATTAATATGGAACTCCACCCAGCCCGCAGTCAGCCAGGTCAAGCTTAATCATGTATTTAAACATGTCCAGTAGACAAATGTTTAAAATTGTTTAGCAACGTTGTGCAGTACTGAACAGGCCCCCAGCCAGGTATGAAGAGGTCTGTCTCATCTCGACCTCTGACCGCTTCCTGACCACCTCTACCTAGCCTCAACTCTAACCCTATTCACCTAATTACCGAACATTGCTATGGGCAACAGCCAAACAACGGAAGCGATGGATTCGACTTACGCTTTACCTCCCTACTGCAGTGCCAGAGTCAATTATTAGAAAGAGTCAATATCTAGAGCATAAAAGGTCAAGTATACAAGTCTAAGTGTCATTTAAATTTAATTCAAGTTGGCTAACATTAGCTAGACCTACTAGTAGTTTGGTTTTAATTCAAGTTGGCTAACATTAGCTAGACCTACTAGTAGTTTGGTTTTAATTCAAGTTGGCTAACATTAGCTAGACCTACTAGTAGTTTGGTTTTAATTCAAGTTGGCTAACATTAGCTAGACCTACTAGTAGTTTGGTTTTAATTCAAGTTGGCTAACATTAGCTAGACCTACTAGTAGTTTGGTTTTAATTCAAGTTGGCTAACATTAGCTAGACCTACTAGTAGTTTGGTTTTAATTCAAGTTGGCTAACATTAGCTAGACCTACTAGTAGTTTGGTTTTAATTCAAGTTGGCTAACATTAGCTAGACCTACTAGTAGTTTGGTTTTAATTCAAGTTGGCAAACATTAGCTAGACCTACTAGTAGTTTGGTTTTAATTCAAGTTGGCTAACATTAGCTAGACCTACTAGTAGTTTGGTTTTAATTCAAGTTGGCTAACATTAGCTAGACCTACTAGTAGTTTGGTTTTGATAATAATAACGTTAGTTGTGGTAGAGTGAATTAAGGCCATACACCAAGCCAATAACTATAATGATAAACTGTAGGCTACATAACGACAAAACGCTGGTGAGCATCCACACTAGAGGAAAGTTAGTCTATCGTTCTACAGTCCTACACCTGTCAATCAACTGATCAACGCATCCTACAGCACACTGTCTATTGATAAGGTGGTAACACAAGACCATGAGGTCCCTAACCCACAGATACTGGTTCAGACCATGAGGTCTCTAACCCACAGATACTGGTTCAGACCATCCATGAGGTCTCTAACCCACAGATACTGGTTCAGACCATTCATGAGGTCTCTAACCCACAGATACTGGTTCAGACCATGAGGTCTCTAACCCACAGATACTGGTTCAGACCATGAGGTCTCTAACCCACAGATACTGGTTCAGACCATGAGGTCTCTAACCCACAGATACTGGTTCAGACCATGAGGTCTCTAACCCACAGATACTGGTTCAGACCATGAGGTCTCTAACCCACAGATACTGGTTCAGACCATGAGGTCTCTAACCCACAGATACTGGTTCAGACCATGAGGTCTCTAACCCACAGATACTGGTTCAGACCATGAGGTCTCTAACCCACAGATACTGGTTCAGACCATGAGGTCTCTAACCCACAGAGACTGGTTCAGACCATGAGGTCTCTAACCCACAGATACTGGTTCAGACCATGAGGTCTCTAACCCACAGATACTGGTTCAGACCATGAGGTCTCTAACCCACAGATACTGGTTCAGACCATGAGGTCTCTAACCCACAGATACTGGTTCAGACCATGAGGTCTCTAACCCACAGATACTGGTTCAGACCATGAGGTCTCTAACCCACAGATACTGGTTCAGACCATGAGGTCTCTAACCCACAGATACCTGTAGCCTGTTGGCACGGGAACAGCTAGAAGAGAGAGGCTAGAGATGTGTAAGCGAAATATTAGCTAGATATTAGGCCATTCATTAGCTAAATATTAGCTAGATATTAGGCCATTCATTAGCTAAATATTAGCTAGATATTAGGCCATTCATTAGCGAAATATTAGCTAGATATTAGGCCATTCATTAGCTAAATATTAGCTAGATATTAGGCCATTCATTAGCTAAATATTAGCTAGATATTAGGCCATTCATTAGCTAAATATTAGCTAGATATTAGGCCATTCATTAGCTAAATATTAGCTAGATTAGGCCATTCATTAGCTAAATATTAGCTAGATATTAGGCCATTCATTAGCTAAATATTAGCTAGATATTAGGCCATTCATTAGCTAAATATTAGCTAGATATTAGGCCATTCATTAGCTAAATATTAGCTAGATATTAGGCCATTCATTAGCTAAATATTAGCTAGATATTAGGCCATTCATTAGCTAAATATTAGCTAGATTAGGCCATTCATTAGCTAAATATTAGCTAGATATTAGGCCATTCATTAGCTAAATATTAGCTAGATATTAGGCCATTCATTAGCTAAATATTAGCTAGATTAGGCCATTCATTAGCTAAATATTAGCTAGATTAGGCCATTCATTAGCTAAATATTAGCTAGATTAGGCCATTCATTAGCTAAATATTAGCTAGATTAGGCCATTCATTAGCTAAATATTAGCTAGATATTAGGCCATTCATTAGCTAAATATTAGCTAGATATTAGGCCATTCATTAGCTAAATATTAAGGCTAAATATTTCCCTATCAAAGTGCAAGAAAAATAAGTAAACAGATGATGAAATGGCAGCTCTGTAGTGCGTTGCTCCAGGCTGCGCTCTGTGGTCCCCCCTCTATCTCTACCCCACCCAAAGCTCAACATTGATGATGGCACAGGCCTACGTTTTTAGACAATAACATTATTCTACCGAGGCTACAATAACACAGTGCAACGAGGAATGTATTATTGTTATCAAGTGAATACACAATTACTATCCATGGGCTGTAAACTGATGCAGGATCATTTGAATAACCGCTCAGGCCTGGTGACGCAACCATTTGGATCAGTGTGGGTCTGTTCTCACTAGGCCTGGTCAGTGTGGGTCTGTTCTCACTAGGCCTGGTCATGCAACCATTTGGATCAGTCTGGGTCTGTTCTCTACAGTTAAGAAGGTCCAGAAAGGTACATTAGCAGGACACTCATCTGGTGTATGTTGTCAGGATGCAGGCAGGTGTTAACTATAGGAAAATATGGGCTTCTCCTTTCCAACTCCCCACCTGTTAATGCTGTAGCCTATTCTCTCCTCCAATAGGCTGTTAGCAGGCTAACGAACATGGTACTTGAACAACAGAACAATGAAGACAGACGTAGCCTACATCCTAGGTTAGAAGCATAGGCTATGCATATTATCCCAGAATTCATAAACTCAATGTTAGGCTTAATACTGCAGAGAATATATCCAGTCAATTTACACAGCGAAAGAAAAAAAAGTTGATCAGATCATGAATTCCCAGGTAGCTACACTATGTAATGAAATCCTAGGTAGCTACACTATGTAATGAATTCCTAGGTAGCTACACTATGTAATGAATTCCTAGGTAGCTACACTATGTAATGAATTCCTAGGTAGCTACACTATGTAATGAATTCCTAGGTAGCTACACTATGTAATGAAATCCAAGGTAGCTACACTATGTAATGAATTCCTAGGTAGCTACACTATGTAATGAAATCCTAGGTAGCTACACTATGTAATGAATTCCTAGGTAGCTACACTATGTAATGAATTCCTAGGTAGCTACACTATGTGCCCCGGGATCCAGCTCCAAAAACTACCATATTTTAGGGCCAACAAATATATCCTACCCAGGCTACAACAACACAATGTAATAAAGAATGTTATAATCATTTTCTGCAGTGAATAGCCCATGTTATTTGAATAACCACTCAAAAGCCTGGTGTTTTGAACGCATATTCATTTAGAAATGAGTGCATCTAGGTTGCCTGATTGGGCAACCATTCGTTTCAGTTATGGCTTTTTTCCTCAGCAGTTTAGCCTACAAGGTCGAGGCACAAATAGCAGGATAGTAATATGGTGTATTTTGTCATGATGTATCAGGTAACAGAAACATGCAGAGATTTCTAGTGGCGCGCATTTGAATTAAAACAATGCACAAGCATGGAGGAAGTTGTATCCATAGTTTCCGCATTTGGCTTCCATGTTTTAAAAGCTTTAGAAAATTAGGTGGATTGAACAGGAAGGTCAGTCTCACCTCGACCTCTGTCAGCTTCCTGACCACCTCTACCTAGCCTTAACGCTAACCCTACTGAACAGGAAGGTCAGTCTCACCTCGACCTCTGACAGCTTCCTGACCACCTCTACCTAGCCTTAACGCTAACCCTACTGAACAGGAAGGTCAGTCTCACCTCGACCTCTGACAGCTTCCTGACCACCTCTACCTAGCCTTAACGCTAACCCTACTGAACAGGAAGGTCAGTCTCACCTCGACCTCTGACAGCTTCCTGACCACCTCTACCTAGCCTTAACGCTAACCCTACTGAACAGGAAGGTCAGTCTCACCTCGACCTCTGACAGCTTCCTGACCACCTCTACCTAGCCTTAACGCTAACCCTACTGAACAGGAAGGTCAGTCTCACCTCGACCTCTGACAGCTTCCTGACCACCTCTACCTAGCCTTAACGCTAACCCTACTGAACAGGAAGGTCAGTCTCACCTCGACCTCTGACAGCTTCCTGACCACCTCTACCTAGCCTTAACGCTAACCCTACTGAACAGGAAGGTCAGTCTCACCTCGACCTCTGACAGCTTCCTGACCACCTCTACCTAGCCTTAACGCTAACCCTACTGAACAGGAAGGTCAGTCTCACCTCGACCTCTGACAGCTTCGTGACCAACTCTATCTTCTCCTGCAGGACCCTCCTCAGGGACTCTTTGGCCGTAGTCTCATAGTTGTGTTTGTCTTCCTGCAGAGCTACCAGCTCCTTACGCATCCCATCCTCCGTTTGGTTCTGGAGAGGGTGGGGGAAGAGACACAGAGAGAGAGGGGGGAAGAGCGAGAGAGGGGAAGAGAGAGAGAGGGGAAGAGAGAGAGTGGGGGAAGAGAGAAGATTGAGAGAGGTCCCCTAAAAAAAACCTCTTATCCAAAAACATTACTAAACATGCATGTCTATTAGTATGTCAATAAACATACACTAAGTATGTGAAATATTTGGGACACCTGCTCTTTCCATTACAAAATGACCAGGTGAAAGCTAATATCCTTATTGAGGTCACCTGTTAAATCCACTTCAATCAGTGTAGATGAAGGGGAGGAGACAGGTTAAAGAAGGATTTATATGCCTTGAGACATGGATTGTGTATGTGTTCATTTCAGAAGGTGAATGGGCAACACAAAAGATTAAAGTGCATTTGAATGGAGTATGGTAGTAGGTCCCAGACGCACCGGTTTGAGTGTGCTTTCGAAAATTGTGGAGTCCATGCCCCAGACGAATTGAGGCTGTTCTGAGGGCAAAGGGGGTGCAACTGAATATTATTAAATTTGTTCCTAATGTTTTGTACACTCAGTGTATGTGTGTATATATATATACATACATACTGCTCAAAAAAATAAAGGGAACACTAAATTAACACATCCTAGATCTGAATGAATGAAATAATCTTATTAAATACTTTTTTCTTTACATAGTTGAATGTGCTGACAACAAAATCACACAAAAATTATCAATGGAAATCAAATTCATCAACCCATGGAGGTCTGGATTTGGAGTCACCCTCAAAATTAAAGTGGAAAACCACACTACAGGCTGATCCAACTTTGATGTAATGTCCTTAAAACAAGTCAAAATGAGGCTCAGTAGTGTGTGTGGCCTCCACGTGCCTGTATGACCTCCCTACAACGCCTGGTCATGCTCCTGATGAGGTGGCGGATGGTCTCCTGAGGGATCTCCTCCCAGACCTGGACTAAAGCATCCGCCAACTCCTGGACAGTCTGTGGTGCAACGTGGCGTTGGTGGATGGAGCGAGACATGATGTCCCAGATGTGCTCAATTGGATTCAGGTCTGGGGAACGGGCGGGCCAGTCCATAGCATCAATGCCTTCCTCTTGCAGGAACTGCTGACACACTCCAGCCACATGAGGTCTAGCATTGTCTTGCATTAGGAGGAACCCAGGGCCAACCGCACCAGCATATGGTCTCACAAGGGGTCTGAGGATCTCATCTCGGTACCTAATGGCAGTCAGGCTACCTCTGGCGAGCACATGGATGGCTGTGCGGCCCCCCAAAGAAATGCCACCCCACACCATGACTGACCCACCGCCAAACCAGTCATGCTGGAGGATGTTGCAGGCAGCAGAACGTTCTCCACGGCGTCTCCAGACTCTGTCACGTGTGCTCAGTGTGAACCTGCTTTCATCTGTGAAGAGCACAGGGCGCCAGTGGCGAATTTGCCAATCTTGGTGTTCTCTGGCAAATGCCAAACGTCCTGCACGGTGTTGGGCTGTAAGCACAACCCCCACCTGTGGACGTCGGGCCCTCATACCACCCTCATGGAGTCTGTTTCTGACCGTTTGAGCAGACACATGCACATTTGTGGCCTGCTGGAGGTAATTTTGCAGGGCTCTGGCAGTGCTCCTCCTGCTCCTCCTTGCACAAAGGCGGCGGTAGCGGTCCTGCTACTGGGTTGTTGCCCGCCTACGGCCTCCTCCACGTCTCCTGATGTACTGGCCTGTCTCCTGGTAGCGCCTCCATGCTCTGGACACTACGCTGACAGACACAGCAAACCTTCTTGCCACAGCTCGCATTGATGTGCCATCCTGGATGAGCTGCACTACCTGAGCCACTTGTGTGGGTTGTAGACTCCGTCTCATGCTACCACTAGAGTGAAAGCACCGCCAGCATTCAAAAGTGACCAAAACATCAGCCAGGAAGCATAGGAACTGAGAAGTGGTCTGTGGTCACCACCTGCAAAACCAGTCCTTTACTGGGGGTGTCTTGCTAATTGCCTATAATTTCCACCTGTTGTCTACTCCATTTGCACAACAGCATGTGAAATGTATTGTCAATCAGTGTTGCTTCCTAAGTGAACAGTTTGATTTCACAGAAGTGTGATTGACTTGGAGTTACATTGTGTTGTTTAAGTGTTCCCTTTATTTTTTTGAGCAGTGTATATATACACATACATATATATACACACACACACACACACACACACACACACACACACACACACACAACAAGTCAAAAGTTTGGACACACCTACTCATTCAAGGGTTTTTCTTTATTTTTTACTATTTTCTACATTGTAGAATAATAGTGAAGACATCAAAACTATGAAATAACACATATGGAATCATGTAGTAACCAAGAAAGTGTTAAATCCAAATATATTTTATATTTGAGATTCTTCATAGTAGCCACCCTTTGCCTTGACAGCTTTGTACACTGTTGGCATTCTCTCAACCAGCTTCACCTGGAATGCTTTTCCAACAGTCTTGAAGGAGTTCCCACATATGCTGAGCACTTGTTGGCTGCTTTTCCTTCACTCTGCGGTCCAACTCATCCCAAACCATCTCAATTGGGATTGTGGAGGCCAGGTCATCTGATGCAGCACTCCATCACTCTCCTTCTTGGTCAAATAGCCCTTACACAGCCTGGAGGTGTGTTGGGTCATTGTCCTGTTGAAAAACAAAAATGATAGTCCCACTAAGCGCAAACCAGATGGGATGGTGTATCGCTGCAGAATGCTGTGGTAGCCATGCTGGTTAAGTGTGCCTTGAATTCTAAATAAATCACAGACAGTGTCACCAGCAAAGCACCATCACACCTATACGTAAAAATTTATGCACACATGACTAAGTCGCTTTGGATAAAAGCGTCTGCTAAATGGCATATTATATGTTATATTATATTTTATTATATTACAAAGACACGGCTGTTGGAACCAAAAATCTCAAATTTGGACTCATCAGACCAAAAGACAGATTTCCACCAGTCTAATGTCCATTGCTCGTGTTTCTTGGCCCAAGCAAGTCTCTTCTTCTTATTGGTGTCCTTTAGTAGTGGTTTCTTAGGAGCAATTCGACCATGAAGGCCTGATTCACACAGTCCCCTCTGAACAGTTGTTGTTGAGATGTGTCTGTTACTTGAACTCAATCTGAGGCTGGTAACTCTAATGAACTTATCCTCTGCAGCAGAGGTAACTCTGGGTCTTCCTTTCCTGTGGCGGTCCTCATGAGAGCCAGTTTCATCATAAGGCTTGATGGTTTTTGTGACTGCACTTGAAGAAACTTTCAAAGTTCTTGACATTTTCCAGATTGACTGACCTTCATGTCTTAAAGTAATGATGGACTGTCATTTCTCTTTGCTTATTTGAGCTGTTCTTGCCATAATATGGACTTGGTCTTTTACCAAATAGGGCTGTCTTCTGTATACACCCCTACCTTGTCACAACACAACTGATTGGTTCAAACACATTAAGGAAATAAATTACACAAATTATCTTTTAAGAAGGCACACCTGTTAATTTAAATGCATTCCAGGTGACTACCTCATGAAGCTGGTTGAGAGAATGCCAAGAGTGTGTAAAGCTGTCAACTCAAAGGGTGGCTACTTTGAAGAATATAAAATGTAACATATATGTTTTAATATGTGTAACACTTGTTTTGGTTACTACATGATTCCATATGTGTTATTCCATAGTTTTGATGTCTTCACTATTATTCTACAATGTAGAAAATAGTAAAAATAAAGAAAAATCCTTGAATGAGTAGGTGTTCTAAAACTTTCAAACTTTTGACTGGTACTGTATGACCAACACATATACAGTGCATTCGGAAAGTATTCAGGCCCCTTGACTATTTCCACATTTTGTTACATTACAGCCTTATTCTAAAATGGATCAAATAAAACTCAATCTACATACATACCCCATAATGACAAATCGGAAACAGGTTTGTAGACAATTTTGCAAATGTATTAAAAATAAAAACAGAAATGCCTTACTTACATAAGTATTCAGACCCTTTGCTATGAGACTAGAAATTGAGCTCAGGTGCATCCTGTTTCCATTGATCATCCTTGAGATGTTTCTACAACTTGATTGGAGTCCACCTGTGGTAAATTCAATCGATTGGACATGATTTGGAAAGGCACACACCTGTCTATATAAAGGTCCCACAGTTGACAGTGCATGTCAGAGCAAAAACCAAGCCATGAGGTCGAAGGAATTGTCCGTAGAGCTCCGAGACAAGATTGTGTCGAGACACAGATCTGGGGAAGGGTACCAAAACATTTCTGCAGCATGGTCACTCTGACAGAGCTCCAGAGTTCCTCTGTGGAGATGGGAAAACCTTCTAGAAGGACAACCATCTCTGCAGCACTCCACCAAATCAGGCCTTTATGGTAGAGTGGCCAGACGGAAGCCACTCCTCAGTAAAAAGCACAACAGCCCGCTTGGAGTTTGCCAAAAGGCACCTAAAATACTCTCAGACCATGAGAAACAAGATTCTCTGGTCTGATGAAACCAAGATTAAACTCTTCGGCCTGAATGCCAAGCGTCACATCTGGAGGAAACCTGGCACCACCCCTACGGTGAAGCATGGTGGTGGCAGCATCATGCTGTGGGGATGTTTTTCAGTGGCAGGGTCTGGGAGACTAGTCAGGATCGAGGGAAAGATGAATGAAGCAGTACAGAGAGATCCTTAATGAAAACCTGCTCCAGAGCGCTCAGGACCTCAGACTGGAGCGAAGGTTCACCTTCCAACAGGACAACGACCCGAAGCACACAGCCAAGACAACGCAGGAGAGGCTTCGGGACAAGTCTCTGAATGTCCTTGAGTGGCCCAGCCAGAGCCCAGACTTGAACCCAATCGAACATCTCTGGAGGGACCTGAAAATAGCTGTGCAGCAACGCTCCCCATCCAACCTGACAGAGCTTGAGAGGATCTGCAGAGAAGAATGGGAGAAACTCCCCAAATACAGGTGTGCCAAGATTGTTGCGTCATACCCAA